AAATACTAATATAAATATTCAGTGAAATTTTCATGTATCTACAGTCATTCGTTTTTGAATTACAACAAAATAAAGAAATCACTACACAAGAAATCGAGTGAATATCCAATGTTGTACAAATTTAATTTGACTTTATTATAGACATTTTTTTTTTTTTTATAAAGGTAGATAATCTTATATTACATTTTAAAATCTTAGATTTAAAAAGAAAAATTTTTAGGAATTCTTAACTCAAAATAATTTGCTAATTTTCGTGACTTTTTTCGAGGTTTTTTAATATTTTCCATGTGCCTTTGAAACAATATAGGTACTAGAAGCCCTTAGTTAAATTTTCAAGCTTTTTTAACCAACCAATAAAATTTTATTGATATTTATAGAATAAAAAACTAAAAAAATTTGAAACTGAAAATGTCCCTAAACAGCTCAAAATGAGTCAAAATATTTTTAAAATTGTAATGTGTATAGGAAATGCTAATATAAATATTCAGTGATATCTTCATGTATCTACAGTCATTTGTTTTAAAGTTACACCAAAAACCAAATTCAATTTTGTTAAAAATCGATTTTGCGTAAAAATTCCCGTTTTTCCTTAATTTTTCTTTTGTTTTTCTTGGCGCTTTTGTAATTAACTGGTAAATTTTTACTTTTGACCCCCTAAAGTACCAACTAGATTCACTTTCCTATCAGAAAAGATACTATTGAAGAAAATCCAAACACTTTTACTGTCCTAAAAGGTGATGACAGACACAAAAAAAATAAAAAAAACACACATCATTGTAAAATTAATACATTTATCATTCCACTAAGAATCTAAAATAGGAGGGAAAATTTTTCTATAAACATTTGAAATTCAAATTTGGATGAAATTAGATATTTTAGGGAATTTCAACAATTTTAATTATTTTACTGTAGTTCAAAATTAGAAATACGATTCTCAGCGAAGACGGTATGTCAGTCCTAAGTATAAAAACATATTATATACTTATCAATCGTATTAAAAAAATTTACCTATAATAAATTCCAAATTAATCATATCACATATCCATTAGGTACTTATAACGCGTTATACATCAACAACAAACCCTAATACTATCATAGATATATAATAGTGTACTTCAGAAGTTTCGAGTACCCGCGAATAATATTGTACAATCACAACAAAATAACTAAAATAGTTATTTTAGGTTTTTTATTATGTAATTTTGTCCAAATTTGAACTTAAAATGACTATAACAATAAACTGTGCTAATGTATTTTTTTAGATTTTTGGTAACAGAATTATCTACTTACGTGGAACCTTGTTTTAAATTTTCAATCCTTAGATCTAAAATTTGAATATTTTATAAATTTTTAACTATAAAATAATTATTCAATTTTAAATTTGATAAATTTTGTCCAAATTTGAACTTAAAATGAATATAAAAATAAACTGTGCTTATGTATTTTTAATGTTTTTCAACTGATATTGTAACAATATATCAGGAGCCTTATATTACATTTTTACACTTTTTGACCCGACAGATATAACTTAATTGATATTTATAGAAAAAAAACTAAAAAATAGAAAACTGAAAATGTCCGTAAACAGCTCAAAAAGAGTCAAAATATTTTTAAAAATGTAATGTGTATAGGAAATACTAATATAAATATTCAGTGAAATTTTCATGTATCTACAGTCATTCGTTTTTGAATTACAACAAAATAAAGAAATCACTACACAAGAAATCGAGTGAATATCCAATGTTGTACAAATTTAATTTGACTTTATTATAGACATTTTTTTTTTTTTTATAAAGGTAGATAATCTTATATTACATTTTAAAATCTTAGATTTAAAAAGAAAAATTTTTAGGAATTCTTAACTCAAAATAATTTGCTAATTTTCGTGACTTTTTTCGAGGTTTTTTAATATTTTCCATGTGCCTTTGAAACAATATAGGTACTAGAAGCCCTTAGTTAAATTTTCAAGCTTTTTTAACCAACCAATAAAATTTTATTGATATTTATAGAATAAAAAACTAAAAAATTGGAAACTGAAAATGTCCCTAAACAGCTCAAAATAAGTCAAAATATTTTTAAAATTGTAATGTGTATAGGAAATGCTAATATAAATATTCAGTGAAATCTTCATGTATCTACAGTCATTTGTTTTAAAGTTACACCAAAAACCAAATTCAATTTTGTTAAAAATCGATTTTGCGTAAAAATTCCCGTTTTTCCTTAATTTTTCTTTTGTTTTTCTTGGCGCTTTTGTAATTAACTGGTAAATTTTTACTTTTGACCCCCTAAAGTACCAACTAGATTCACTTTCCTATCAGAAAAGATACTATTGAAGAAAATCCAAACACTTTTACTGTCCTAAAAGGTGATGACAGACACAAAAAAAAATAAAAAAACACACATCATTGTAAAATTAATACATTTATCATTCCACTAAGAATCTAAAATATAGGGGAAAAATTTTTCTATAAACATTTGAAATTCAAATTTGGATGAAATTAGATATTTTAGGGAATTTCAACAATTTTAATTATTTTACTGTAGTTCAAAATTAAAATTATTCGTAGGGGACATTACGCATAGTATTATATTTTACTATATGCAATGAAATTTTTAAAACCTTTTGATTTTAAGCTATTATTACCTAGGTATTCAAAATGCCTAATAATAAAATAAATTACTTCAATAGCAATACAAATATATCATAAAATATACTTAGTATCGTAGGCTGATAGATCGTCTTCACTCAGAATCGTTTCCCGTATGGAAAAATTTATTATTGAATTAAAATTTAACATACATTACAGTGACTTACTCAATGACGATGTACACTTGACATCTACTGTACCGCAGAGCGGTTACGTACTTTCTTCCTTTTTAATAATAAATCGTTAAATTACTATATAAATAAAAACTTCATAAAGGAACACAATTATTCAGTAGTTTCTTGTATATCGAGTGCTGCGAGTAAAAATATCCAATTATAGTTATAAAGTTTTTTTGTATCTTACATTGATCACTAATTTGTTATTTTTTCTATTACATTATATATAATGAATCAACTTGTGTGGGTGGATTGTTGTGGAGGATACCCTATCTTATTATGTAACTTAATATTGGAATCGAATTATAAAAACAAAAATAGCAAGAATAAAATATAGAGCATCGTATACCGTTATTTTATCTGCGTAGCACCATTTACTTTTCTTTCGTAGGTACCAAACTATAATATGTATTATGATATAGAAATGATTATAACAAGAGGGATACAACTTCATTGTAACACAAAAAAAATGTCTCGTCCCTGTATATTTTTTTAATTACGACGGTCGGACGCGATGATAAATAAAATGGTCGTTTTTTTTCTCTCTCAGACACCCTAAAATCGAATGAAATATGTAATGAGGTTCCGTTAGGGAAAAAAATTAAATTCTCATAGCGCCGCATTATATAGGTATAGTAAAAGTGTAAAACGTTTAAGTTGGCGCAACTCGTAAATAATCGTATACGTCTGTAATTGCCGCTAAACCGTTACTAAACGTTCGTTGTGAATCAAACGCTAATGATATAGTACCTATATATGTTTCGTAAGACTTCGCACATAAATCGTTTGCCCTCTCGAACCCCTTTCTGGCAGGCATTAGGAGTTATAGATCTTCGGTTCTCTAGGTGGCATTCACCTGCCATCGTCGTCACTATCGCGATATCCGTTGGACAGTGATAAAAATCGCCTCACAGCGGTCCGCTCTGATTCGAATCGTTCGCTATTTTTTTTCGATCGGTTATAATAATATATATATTGTACACGTATACCGTGAAACCCATGCGCAGCGTTTACACGGGACCAATTATAGTTATTATCTCCCTTGTTATTGTGACTATCCCCGAAATAGGTATAGGTATAATAATATAATACTGACAGATAATTGATTTTATTATTATGTCTTTTTATACTTATACATTTTTATGCGCTCTAGTGGCTAGTACATTGTTGTATCTAACCAATAATAATATAAACATTTCCGATATACAGGTGTTGTTGTTTTGACTTGTTTGTGTTGCAAATTTCAAGACGTAGGTAGCCTAATGTATTATGCATACAAAAGCTTTAGTTTGAAACAAAAAGGAGTTCTTGACGAAAATATTGTGGTCGAATACGTGACGTGCATCATTTGAATAGAACCCAAATATATTACGAAAAACGGTTGTATTTACAAAACTACCATAACGTATTTAAGTAGGTAGGTAGGTACCTACAGTCCTTAACCTAACGACTCCAAAAGTTCAATCCAACAAAATTAAAAAATATAAATTATATAAATCTAAGTAACTTCTTTACTTTGATATAATTTACGTGTAAAAATATCTTTTAACATTGTTGAAACTATACAAAAATAAATATAATCAAGTAAACAAAGATTATCAGTCTTGTAATAATATTATAGTGTCTTAAATAGAAGTATTTTGTTATTTAAAATTCGGAAAATATCTTTGTAAATCACCATAGTTATATATTTGTGTACTGTACAGTGAAACAATATAACACTTCTGTGACAACCGGGATTTGACCTTAAAGAGTAAAGAAGTATTCACAGACAACACTACCCTTGGGACTAAATTAAAATATAAGACCAAAACAAAATGAATATAAATTATAAATTGACCTTTCTTTTCACACTGAGAAATGCGTAGTTTAGAAAATAGAAATACTATAGTATGTGTAAAATACTTTAATGTATATAATTAAATAATGTAATGTACATTAATATATAATTAGGTATATAATAGATATTATACTGAAGAATTTACCAAATTTAGTTTTAGAGAAATGTCGAAGATTATATTATTGTATTAAATTATAAATTGTAGTCATGTAGTTGGTATATAAGTTCTCACCGTTTTAAAAATCCCTGCAACGTACCAGTATGGCTGTAGGATAGTTTTTAACGATTCTAACATAGGAATGTAATTACAAAAATGAAAATAATTCGTTATTACAGAGTGTCCGCCCACCGAAGATGGATTCGAACGGTTTGCTTGTCCCACACCAGACAAGGAAGGACGGTTCAGGTGCATAGACGATCACGTCCTGTGTGACGGATACATTGACTGTCCAAATGGCGACGACGAAGATAGAAAGAATTGTTTCTTCTTCAAAACAGTAAGAACAAAAATAATAATTACAAGGCTTAATCGAATGCAATTTGTTTTGGAAGGGAGGTGATGTTAAGACACCAACACATTAATCAATTTAAGAAAACTTCATTTTAACGTTACGACAACTTAATTACCTAAACTATTATTTTAGCTCTGCATTTTGAACAGACTACAAAATACAAAAAAAATACGTAGAATCGTTTAAACGAAAGAGTTTTTGTTAAATCCCTAGGGTGTTACCACTGGGTATCTTCCCTAATCTAACTACTCATATCATATTTTACCTTTCATATATCAAACCTACTTATTGTACAAAAAGCATGTATAGATTGTAGATTTCTTCAAATAAAAAAAAAAAAAAAAAAAAAAATCCCTTAAATTCTAACAAAAAAAATAAAAAAAATATACATATTTTATTTAATTTTTAATGGGTCACCAACTTAACTATTTAAACATACCAATTACAAATAATATACATTTGTAAATACTATTTTATTTTATTTTTCGATAAATTAACGTTATTTATAGAAGAAAATAAAGCAACCTATTCATTGAAAATATTCGATCAATAATAAAAAATATAAATATAAGTTTCAGAGTTAAGTAAAGTTTCTAAATGAAATAACGTAATAAATTTCATACCCATACTTTTTTTCACAAACTTTTATTTTGTGAAAACTAGTGCCTATATTGAAAGCAATAATATCTATTACGGATACTGGGTCGGAAACATTATATTGCTACATAAAAATAAAATATTTTAAAAATTATAAAACTTTTAAAATTAACTTTTTTCAGACTAAAGCTCATCTGGACATACTGGCAGACGCTCTTCTTCGATGGGCAAGAGGACGCTAATCCAAAATGTAATTTAAAATAATATCATGATAACGCCTACGACAATTTAAATTCAAAAACCATAATTCAACAAAATAACTTTACTCTCCTTCTATAGGTTTGATTGAAAAATAATATTTTCCCCAGATACTTGTTTAAGGTACTTATAAAAATTGTTCGCATTACATGCGCGCAAAAAAAAAATTTACAGGATAAAAATATGGAGGCCTGGCATACGAAACGCTTTTTGGCGTACTACTACTGATGTTACACTGGTAAACATTTCAAAAGTCTATTAAATTATATTAACCACGTTTTCCTCTTTTTTGTGCTCATAACATTATGATTTCATTTTAATACTACCAAGTTCCTACAATAGTTGTTGTTACCAAGCATGTGTCATGTTGATGTATTTTCGTACGGGTTGTATATTAATTTATTGGTTTTTTTTTTTTAACTCTATCTGTGGTCAATCAGATCTGTGAATGAGATCGCAATAAATCATTGTGTGTTTATTTTAATCGTGAATAATAGAACTTGTAAATATTATTATTACTATTACTATTATTATTATAATTATTATTATTACTACCTACTACTATTATTATACTATTAATTTTATTATATTTATTACTACATTTTATTGTTCAACCTATGCTTCCGCATGTGTTTTATTGTTTCCACGGCCTTTTTTTAGATAATAATACACTATAAATGAGTTTTAAAAAAAGGATTCAAAATATTCGTTTTTATTAAAATTATACACGACATTTTATTAAAATTATACACGACTTTTTATGGAAAAAAAACAAAACCTTACAACACTTCTGTGTTTATTATTATCAGTTGTATTTATTTACCCCGACATTGCATGTGCCTGTTCTACCCGAGTTTGTGTTTAACCCTAATTTACCATAAATATCACATCACCTAAATCCTATTTATTATACTTTGACGGTACTATATAGCTTTGGATGTTTCTTAAATACACGCAGGGATGGACAAACTAAAAACACAAGGTACATACCTACCTGTATGCATTTTTAATGAACTATAGCAAATTTATGATAATCCTCTTGAAATGATTAGTGCCCATCCCTGTAGTGTAGGTATGTGTATGATTTTCAACCTATTTAAATAGAATGAGACACGCAGTTTGCACATTTTTACATAGTGATGAAGACAGCGTCGTAAAGGTAAGTAATCTGTAATTTATTCGACAATTACATTACGTTTTAGTATTTTAATGTTCTAGTGTGCATCGTTATTCGTTTTTTGTGTCTCTCAAGCGAAACGCGCCAACAATACAAAGTTTTTCTTTATGAGAATCATATAGGTGCATGTTAATACTACCTGAACTACAATTACATTTTACATTAAGATTTAAAATATATATAATAATAATAATAATGATAATAATAATAGTACATCATAAACATAATGAGCGTAATACCCTGAAATTATCCAAGATTTTTGAGTTAAACTGATAAAAAAATCGCACTAATTAAAAACACGTCTGAGTGCATATTATATCCTTTACAAATTCTATTTGATCCTCTAGCACACATGCATTACATACCATTATAGTCAATCCCATATAATACTACTTTTATATTTCGTTTAATTCTTCATAATATTATACATTATTTATCATCTGTACCAACTAACATTTAACGAGATTAAAATATTACCTCTTCACTACATATTTCTCTATTCTCTGTATTTAAAAACCAGTGGGCTGACATCGTTTCATTATATTAAACACATTAGTACTAAACGCCTTTTCTCGTTTAACATATTATGGGAAGACAGATTAACACTGGGAGCTCTGTCGACGCCTATCGTACTGATGGTTAGGCAGGTTCCCCCCTACGTGGGGTCGGGACTCGATTCGGGAGATTGTATGTGTTTTTCCGACATTTCGCATACATTTTGCTTTAAGTGAAGTGTATTTGAATGTATTTGATAATATTAATAGAAATTGTACTTATCAAAGTATACAGTTAGCTATAAAAGAGTATAAAGTTTCGATAACACAATTAGTTTATTATAAAAAGTAAAATAACCAATATAAAACTATATCTATGCTTCCCGAATCGGAAGGTACAAATTGTTTCTACCAGAGCGCGTTTTGTTAATCTGCTTTCCCAATAGTTGAAAATCAAATTACCTACTTGGAAGTTATTAATTTTGTCTACACATAAACGAATACTAACAAACGTAGGTGCTTAATATATTTTAACACAACAAACATAATATAGTATAAAATATTTTATGAAACTATTTTATATACTATTATAAAATTATGTAACTATTAGATACCTAATATATATATATATATATTATATATAATATGTGTGTACCTATACATAGATATATTATTTTTTATCTGGCACCTTATAAAGTACTTATTTTATACTTATGGAGAGGGTATTAAGTAAGGCTTAACGAGACAAATATACCAATTAAAAATATGTTATTTTTAAAGTTAAAATGTATATGATTTTACGACCCACATAACCAAATTACACCAATTATTAGCGTAGTTGTATCCAAAAACCACACTCTTACCTAAAATAAAATAAAAGACAAAACAGCGCCCTTTTTTTGAGACTGTTGTATCCGAAAACCGATAATTGTAAAATTACTAAAAAAATTTTATATTTTTAAGTATAAAATATATTATTTATATATTAATTTAAATGAAAAAAATATTAAATAAATTTCAAGTTCTCATCATAAAAGTTAAATTATAATTCTATAAAAATTGTTTACATGTTACAATAAGAATTATTTCAACTTATTTGTAAACGTCAGAAATTGTTTCATTTTGAGTGGTAGAATATCATAATTTAAAATAAAATGTAGTGCTTCTATCAGACCTTTTGGTAAACTTTTAAAAAGTTTTCGACGTTCAGAATACATCTACCTGTAGATAAAAAAATAGTGTGAGGTATTTTGCTATACAAATAGAGTGTATGGTTTTGTCAATCGACCTTTTTGGAGTGAACGTCGTGAGTGTGCGGTTTTTGGATGCAACTATTAGCGTATTAGATCACAATCGGTATTTATTATAGTCTTGATAGAACAGTTATTTTCGTGAAATCAGTACGAATATTTTAATATTTACTTGTCATTAATTTAATTCTATCAAAATTTTATTGTGAAACGTATTTCGGTTTTTATAGTGTAAAATCTCGTCCGAATGTCAGATTGTGTGTGACCTAACCCATTCAATATGTTTCTAAATCCTGTCCCAATCAAGTAGATATAAACTGCTCACTATACGTCTATACGACTGAATGACGTCATGATACACGATTATTTCGTCGAGGAAATTGATACAGCACTTAGTGTGTACTAAATCCTACTTAGGTACATATTAACTTTGGTCACTCTGGTTTTATTTAAGTTAAGCCCCTACCCCACCCCCTAACAATGTCAAATCACTGAGCTATACGCGTGATCGGGCGGGTGTAATTAAATGCTTTGCCCTTAAATTTAAGATATTCTTACCACGCAACTGCATAGCGAGTACGACGACGTGACACTACGAAAATTAGTGGACGTTGTAGGTACGTTAAAGTTTAGTAACAATATTGTATAATACTATTATTATTAATAATTTTATTTTGATAGATTTGCATAATATCAATAAAAGCCAAAACTGCTTTGGGGTTGCGCATATATGACACTAGAGAATATTATTTTATACTCCGATCGATTTTGATTGTTGGCCGACGATAAATTCAGATTTATTTTAGAAAACCCTTTTTAATCAAAAATTCATCACGAGTATATACAGTTGAAACTGGTAGTAAACATTATTTTAAATTGTTATTACTCGTATTTACACTCATTTTATTCAAATTAAAGTAAATTTATTATCACAGAGATTTAGAATTTCGATGTAACATAGCACACTTTATAGACTCCGTAGTTATTAATAATAAATCATTTCAGAAAAATGTACAAGTTCTAGACAATTTTTTTTTTAACGGAAAGGCTGTAAAAGTATTTTTGTCTAGAATTGTTTTTAACATGTGACAATAATGGCTTTTAAATTTAACAATATATTTCTAACCCATTTGTTCCAACGACGAGCATACTAACTAAACTGTATGGGTATAACTCACACAATATCATACTAAAAATGTGTAAGTACATTATTATTTATAAAAATTATGTATGTATTTTTTTTATTTGTATTATCATTTGAACGAAAATGCTATAATTTATTTTTATATAGATCTTCAAAATTAACGTAAAATAAAATCACTTCTCAAACTCCAATTCCCATTTATCGTCCCAATATTTAAATACATCTATTAAACATGCAAGTAATAATTAAACCAGTGGTGTGAATTTTTAATTTTTTGAGCGTACCTACTACTTATCTATAAACTTGGATGTCTTAGTAGTTAGTATTTAAGCAAGCCCGCATACCTTAGAAACTTTTCACCGTAGGTAACATTCTCAAAACAAAATATTCTTGATTCACAAATTTATCTTCATATAACTTACAGACCATAATATATCATTTACAGAAGATTTAAAAAAGCTCAAATAGTACATTTTCAATATGAAATATTTCCCTTTTTAAATGACTGATCAGATTCAACCATCAATGAACATAAATCATCCGATGAACGACTAAATTAATTTATACATTTTATGAATTGTAAGGTGTTTTTCGCGTTATTAAAAATATAAATTCTTTCTATCCTCGTTATTCTTTGCAATCATTTCAGAAGTGCTTCGAGAGTTGATACTTGGAAAATGATGGTGATAATTCTGACGTTAAATCTGCCGTGTCTTTTTTTTCGTAATTAGTTTAAATATATACTAAACGTACTTTATTGACCAAGACATTTATACAATTTCCCTATAAATATTAAATTCCAATTCCTGAACACTACGTCACGGGTTTAAGGGAGATGATTGCCAACAGCAGCAAGTTGATTTTCAAGTACAGGTCACTAAGGCGGTTTAACATTATATGTATTTAAAATAAAATATGC